AACTTGAGGGACGATGTAAAATACCCCTTTTCCTTACAGACGGCAGCGCACGCCGGCAGGCCCTCATAGTGGTGTGTAGTCTGCAGAGCTTGTATTTCATCAATAACTGTTTGTATATTTATATACACACAAAAGAGAAGCAATAGAAAGAATAAAATAACTGCATCTTATCAAATCCCTAATCAAATCACCTAATTAAGATTTCATTAGAGCTAATCAAATCACTAAATCACTTAATTAAGGGTTAACTAAATCTCAAAAATGTCATAACTTACAATTTCACCCCCTATTTCTACTTCTCAAGGGTTAAAGAATTGTTCTAAAATTAAGATTAGAGTTTTAATGATAATTTGTATATATTCTAGTGTAATACTAATATTAAAACTTATGTGACATTAATTATATTTTTTTGCAATTTTATTATAATTTATCCGTTCCGGCCGTGACGCAGCCACGACGCAACCGCGACATTACAATAGAACTGGAACGGCGGTATCATGAGAGAGAAAACAATACCCAGTTGTGTTGTCGGAGGCCATTTTTTCCCTCATAATTTATCCAACTCTTAAAAAATCTGTAGAGACTATGCCTAAGAACAAGAACAAAAAAAGTTAGTGAATTGTCTTCTTTCTTGTGTTGTGTTTTTTAATGGTCTAAATTGTATTTTTCTTTCAATTTTTGGTCAAATTTATTTATATTTTAGAATTAACACAAGCAATTTGTCCTTTTTTTGCCATAAAATATACGTTATCAATTATTTGGAAGAGTGCTCATAAATTAAAGGATTCATTCCTCACTCTACCTTTTGAAGTAAAATACATTTTACAAATAGTTGCAAAGCAACGAAATTATTTGCAAAAGGGTGAGTTACCAATAATTTTGAAGAACAGATATTTTCCCCTCCTTGGATCTTGACATGTAAGGGCAATTATGTTATTTCACACCTTATCAGTACAAATCATGCCACCAAACATCATAGACAGTTGTCTTTTGTAGGTAAATCCTACAAACCAAACTCATTTTTTTTGCTACTATATAATCATGAATAGTGTTATATGACGTAATCCTAACAAATTTATCTATATCATCCATCAAACCAAAAGAGGCCCAAGGGGATTATTTGCTGATATGACGAGCAAAAAGAGGTCATCTACAAAAGCTTGTAACTACGGGGGATTAAGTGATATTTATTCTTCTTTTTTAGATTTTACATGAATAGGAAAAAGGAAAATTGTAGTTTTGATCCTCTATGTTGATCTATTTAGGAATTTAGTCATCTAACTTGTTATATTTCACTTTTCATGCAATAGCTTAGCAAATATATAGTATTTTTAGTCCTATTTTGTATGATTTTTAATTTTATGACGCGACAAATAAACTTGACATATTTTAGTTATATGGACGATTGGAAATTTATAAATTCGACATCTAACCTACCATTTGTAGAACTTTAATTATGTGAGACATCTACAAAATCAAATTAGAGGAGCAATTATAATTTTTAAGTGTCCATATAAATAAATTTCTACGGGTTTGTTAGGTACATCATTAAACGACGGCTAAAATTCAAGTTCGAGTGAAATAGGACTAAAAATACTAATTTTTCACAATTATTGCATGTAAAATTGAAATATGTCAACTTACAGGACTAAATCTCTAAAGAGACCAGCATATAGGACCAAAATTAAAATTTTCCCAAAAGGAAAACATGTGAAAAGTTTAAGAATTTGGAATTTGATGATGCTAGAAATATATCACCTTAGAGAGTGGAAGTATGGTGAGCTGGAAGAGCAGAGAGGATCACTGGCTCACGGGCTTGATGACCTTGAGATACCTGCGATCATAGAACATGTAAACTAAGCCGGGGGTTGATTCGGCGGAAACCCCTTCGACGCTCAATTCAGACGTGCGGAAAGTGGAAATAGTCCAGAGAATACATGTTATAGTATTACTCAGATAATAGGACCTACCTTAAGGAATGCGTTCAAACATTTATTTATACCTCATTGATTGGGCTGAAGTTTAATTAGTTAAGATTATCGGGCCAAAACCTTATTTGACGGAGACTGAGCCTCAATAGTAGTGGTCTTCAATATTGGGCTTGTGGCCCAGTAGATAGAGAAATTATAGGCCTATTGGGTTGACCCAAGTAGACATATCATACTGCTTGTATATTCATTTTTATTTTATTTTTTGTAACGACATTTTCAAAGATAAGGAAAGTTAATCTTCTAAGAGAAGCAAAATACCATACAACTCTTGTTGCAGAATCCGTAACTCACGGAACTGTATATATATGCACACACACATGCTGCAAATCAATGCCGCTGCCTACAAGCTCCAAAACCATGGCTGATAACAAATCACATCTTCCACCGGAAATCGTAGAAATTATTCTATCAAACTTATCAGTAAAATGTCTTTACCGATTCAAATCAGTTTCCAAGTCATGGAATACTATAATCAGAGATCCTGTATTCATCCAGAATCATATCCAAAAATCTAAGCATTCAAACTCGCATAACCTTTTCCTAACTCGTGCGATGTCGAGTACTTCTTCTATCCGATTTTCCGTGGTTGAATTCGACGATGAAAAATTTCAAACCCTACCAGTAGTAATAGAAGCCCCCTTTGGGTGTGGGTTGGTATTATGCTTTTGTGATGGCATCCTACTCTTAACCAACCGTTCGTACCAGAGACTTGTGTTGTGGAATCCATCCACTCGAACAGCGGAAAAGCTTTGGCATCGGAATGGCTGCAGTAAGGCGTCTTTCGGGCTTTGCCGCGATCCGAACACTGACGATTTTAAGGTTGTTGTTGCGGATTGGTACCACTATTCAGTTTATTCTTGTAAGAAAAAATCCTGGATTATGATGAAAAAGGAATACGAAATTGAATACACTGGTTTAGGTTTCAATCCAAGGAGCACTTCACCGAAAGGAGTCTGTGTTGACGGGGTTAGCTATTGGGTCTGGAGTCGCCCGACGACTGTTACAAAAATAGTGTATTATGATCCGAGAGATGACAAGTTCAAGTTTTTGCGTTTGCCGGAAAATGTAGACAGGTGCAAAATTATTTACTTGGTTAATGTGAGGGGTTCTTTGGGCATGTATTGCAATTTCTGTAAGGTTCAGATTTGGACGAAGGAAAATGGCGTTTCTTCGAAGGAGTTAATAAGGGTTGAATATAAGATGCCATTTTGGTTTTCGTTGAAGCTATGTTCCGTGAGAAATAAGATTGTATTCCACGAAAATAAGGATAGATTAATAATTTACAACCCTTGTGAAAAGAGGTTTGAAGAAAGTGAAGATTACAATGTAATAATTTACAATCCTTGTGAAAAGAGGTTTGAAGAAAGAGAAGATTACATGGAAGATTACAAAGTACTTTTAAGCGGTGGAGTGGTTACGGTTCCATACATGGAGAGTATGTACTTCCCCATTGAGAAACCGAAACCGAAACCGAAGAGGAAGTGGAAACGAAAACGCTCAATAGATATATAGTCTTTATTTTTCGTCTCTTCATGTAGGATCGAGTCTCTATTTTTTGTCTCTTCATGTAGGATCGAGTCAGTGTCGAAGATGCTTTTGGTCCATGCATATTCGTTATGTTTAATGTTTTGGTTTTTATTTACATGTCATTCATGTTTGTTCACATCATAACAAGTCGATTCTCTTTTTGAAAAGAGGGGACTTTTTTTTATTTTTTTTTTCTAGTAATTTATTGAGACCTTTCAGTTCTTGTTAATTTACAAATTTCGTGTCCGGAAAAGGTTAGTTGTTTGTTGTATACAAGCACAAAATTTTTGTTGTCATCAACAGTTTTATTGTATAAATTAGGAGTTTTTAGCATTGACCAGTGATATCTCTAATTGCCACCAAAGTCTATGTGTTAAAACAATTAGCAAGAATCCCTAATAAAGGTAGTCCAAGGCAATAATGCTCTTCCGAGTTGACGGTGGCATACACTCGCGAAATATGCGACTAGGGATTGGTTTTTTAACCTGAAAGGATTCAAATACCATTTAATTTAGAAATTTGGAAAACAAGCCCCAAAATAAAGTTTTCAATATTTTCAATTTAGTCCCCTTCAATTTCAGAAAAGCCCTCTTCTCCCTTATGTCAGGCACTGTTTTGAATTTTTTTCATTCAGGCAACGGGTCATCAGCCCTTTACTTTCGGTCGCGGCTCCTCCATGACGAAAGGCAAAACTCTAGCGATTCTTCGACAGCGAAGAAAGAGGATTTAGATGATCGGTTTGTAAAGCACATTTCAACTCATTCTTCTCTCTTAATTTCAAAGCCTCTCTCGAAAAAACAAAAAACACCTAGATTTGAGCATCAAGCTCTATTCTGATCAAGATCCAAAAAAAATTAACAGTGGAAAAAGAATAAGCTTCAAGCTCGTTTTTCTACTGCAAAAAACCCAGCAAGAACTTGTGCAAATTGGCCACAAGAAAACAGATCTCAAACCCCTTGAAAATCCTAGGTATATTATCTGCCCGATCGA